CACTGAACTTTGATTCCAACTTTGGCCAACTAACTCCACACAAAACGGCTTAGCCACTTGGGCATCCACTGAACCGCCGCCCAACTGGGTCCCAGCACCAACTCACTCCCCTACGACCCCAGTGCCGGGTCAGCCATTGGGCTGGGGTCATGCCAATCACGGCTGCCTGGCGAATGAGCAGGGGGCGTCAGACCGGAAACCGGATATGGGTGGGAGGTCCAATAGGGGGCGCCGCGTTGGAACGCCCGAAGAGGTTGTGCTGCTGGGGTGGTTGGAAGTCGTTGGGGGGAGGGTGTATGGCGGCTAGGCCTGGAAGACCACGAGGACCGCTAGCGCCGTGGGGTCACCCTTCCTCATGCCACAGGTTGCCGAGCCTCGGGGGAGAGGTGGGGTCCCAGGGGCCAACCTTTGGGTGCGTTGATGGCGGCAGGCTAACCTAGCCAACGGGGTGCCGCTGCCGGGAGAGGCACGGAGCAAGAAGATTTCCAGGGCTGGGAGGTAGAGGGCCAGGACTACAAGGAGAGGGCTTACTGCGAGCAGCAGCCCAGGATGGCTAAGGAGTTGAGGCCCCAGGGATGCTGAGCCTGCACAAGTGGAAGGTCAGTAGACATTGGGGTTGAAGCCCCAGGGAGAATGCGATGGGTGCTCCGAAGGGGTGGTTTGCTCTCGTCAGGCCTCGCGCTCACCCCCAAAGCACCATTTGTCGAGGAACGGGTTCAGGGTCTCTGTTCGACACCCTCATGGGTCTGTGGGACCCCTTTGTTCATTCTTTCTGGTATTATGATTCTTTGCCAGGGGAGCACATGCATCGAGGTGATTAAAAAAAAAAGGTTAGGCAAATACCAATTCCTCATCCTAGGGAGTAGAGCAGCATAAAAATGAAAGAAAAGACTTCCACTTGGGGGGACCTTGAAAGTCTTGGTGGAGAAAATGGCTTTTTATATGGGCCTCCAAGGAAGGATAGACGCCTTGGCTATGAATAGAAGGTAGTAGTGGGGGATGGGAGACAGTTTGCCCACCACGAACAAAGGAAATAATGGTAAGAAACATGGGGCGTGGCTGGGTAAACACAACTGGCCACCTTGGCTGGCTCTTCAGGAGCAGGGGGAGAAAAGTCAGGAGAAATTAGATAGAATCTCTCTGAGGATGGCATGGAGTATGAGAGCAAGCACTTTAAGGCTATTTTGGCAGGAAACAGAAAGGATATTGAAAGTTTTTTGTTCTGCAAGTGAGGATTTGAGCCTACTTTTAGGAAAGGCAGAAGCAGCATGGAGGATGATCCTGATGGAGAGAGAACAAAGGAAAGGGGTTATGCACAAAGGAGATGTTTAAAGGAGAGACCTAGCACGGTGAAGGAAGCAGGAATGCTGAAGGATAACACTCAAGAGGGGTCCCAAAGGATCCTCCTGGAGCACCTCTTATTGCTAGAAAGACACAAAAAATGGAGGAGCCAAAGTGTGTCACCCAGATGGATGAAACACTGGGAGTTGGACAGGGAAGTCAGTGGGAGGGACTGGCAAGGTGGCAGTGCTGATTTGGTTTTAGACATGGCAGAGTTAAAGGAACTTTGAGCAGTTGGGATAGAGATTTTTGCAGGGAAATCTGAAATTTAGGGAGGGAAGGTCTGAAATTTAGAAAAAGATAAAGATCACACATTCAAATTGGCAATCGTCCTTACAAAGATGAATTCATGGAGTCAGAAAATTCTTTAGGGGAGAAATACATTTGGTAACAGAATCTTGAACAATTGGTGCAGTGGACAGGAAAAAGGGATACAGTCCAGGAGTGAGCAGGGAGGACTCAGAAGGGAGAGATGGGAGCACACCAGAGGAAGGGGTTTCAGAACCACTCAGCACATTTTATCTAGACTTGGTGTTTTAGCCTCTGCACTAGTGGTATTCGGGGCCAGGCAATTCTTTGTTGTGGTGACTGCCCTGTTCATTGTAGGATGTTGAGCAGCATCCCTAGCCTCTACCCACTAGATGCCAGTAGCATCCCCTTAGTTTTAACAACCAAAAATGTCTCCAGACTTTGCCAAATGTCCTCTGGGGGGCAAAATCTCCCCCAGTTGAAAATCACCACTATAAGCTGAGAAAGGACCCTTAGATTTGAATAGGAATTGCCTTAATCTAAAGGTAAATTAAGACTAGGAAGGATAAATCCCAGTATTTAACCCTGATATTCCCCCATTTTCCCACTCTTGTTGTTTCTCTGTAGTGACTGGCTACCAGTCTCTGAAAAACCTAAGTCCTTTAGGTGAGTGGAGCTAGGAGTTGAAACATCAGTAGTGGGGTCAGGGACCCCAGAAATGTGGCCAAATATTCGAGGAGTTGACCCACCTGTGGCACCTGAAAGGCCACAGGGACCTGAGGAATCTGGTATAGTAAGAGCTGGGGGTGATCAGCTAGTGGGTTTACTGGGTCCACCTTGATTGGCCTGATTGGTTGGCTTGTCTGGTGATCCTCCTGAGGGCTGATAATTTTGCTAACTCAAGAGAGAAACAAGACCTTGATCTGGATGGAGATGGCCAGTGCTGGATGTTAGTGGGCAGCGTCATCTGGGGCCTAACCTTGCCAGGGACGTTTTTAGGATCTGCCATTATAATTGTGTAATAGCAAAGTACCTTAAACATAGCTTTCCAATGCTGGATGGATTGCCATCGTGGGAAAAGATGAATATGTGATAGGACTGAGGAAGGAAAGTCTATTAATGTGTTCATGCAGCTAAGGAAGAGGAAGTCAGGAGAGGCTGGTGCCTGAAAAAAAGGCCGAGTTGGGATAGATAGAAGCTGTGTGCCAGGGTCCTGACCCCTGTCCTGAGGGGCTGTGTGCTGGAGTGCAGGGCTGCAGTGAGATGATGTGTCAAGTAAGGGACGACAGTATTGGCTGTCAAAACCCAGGGATGGGTTACTTGAAAATTGTGTATACTTGGCTACTTAAAAATAATAGCCTCTGCACTTGATGTACTAAGAAAGGGATGGGAAAAATTTCTCATGCTTCCATTAAACTCTGCATTTCTGAGGAAAGCCAAATGGCCCAGGTGCCACAGGTGGCAAATAGTGGCTTTTGGAAAATATGGAACCCCAATGGAAAGAATGTATGTATTTCTTTACCGTTGACTCTCTGAACAGCACCATTACAGCCCCATTCCTTGGTAGCCCCACATGATGCCCTGGGCTTCCCAAACTTAGTCTCTCACCTCTCTCTCTCATCTCTCACTATTGACGCTTTCATGGCACATGTATTCAACAAGTGATTGTGTTTCTACTTACATTCTGGGATTCTTACTCATTACCAAAAGCACAAGGCATATCTCAAGTTTTGGTAGCTACCTGTCAGCTTTCTGGGTTTATCCCTGTAGGCAACAAAGATAAAGCAAAGCAGAGAGAGGGAGGGGAGGTGAGCGAAAGGGAAGGGAACAGAAACCATGAACAACAGTATTTTTTTTTTGGTAGTCATTTTCCTTTTGGTCTGTGGCTTTGCAGGGAGGTGGGTGGTGAAGTTTGCAGAAGTGCCTTCTCTATAGCCCATTCATGTCATTAGTTGTGAGTGGGTTTCTTTCAATTGAGAAAAAAGTAAAAGCAGAAAGAGAAGGTAGAAAAGAATTTAGGCAACTATGACATTTCTCAGCCTCCCAGTGACAAATGTTTTCTGAGTGCTGACTGAGTAGTAATAGACTTTGAAGCTGTACAATTAATTACTTTTCAATCAAGACTTGCTGCTGCCATCCTTTTCCCTTCAGCCTCTTCTCTGCCCGCCTTGGCCGGTGGAGGCAGCAGCATACAGCTGTCTGCAGAGGGGTCTATGTGGCCAGGCTGTTTGAAGCAAATGCCAGCTAAAGGAAAAAGGCCTCAAATGGATGAGGCAAGATACCAGGTTAGAGGCAGATGCAAGGCTGATATTAGAGGTGGTGGAAATAGTCTTTATGAAAATACTTGATATGCTCAGATTAAAAAGCCTGCATCGTGAATTCAGACCCCTTCACTCAGCTAATTAGCTGTAGCTCAGCAACCTTCTCAAAAGGTGCACCAAATTCTGTTTCAGCCAAGGCATGCCACTGTCCTCTGACCACCTGTGCTTGAACAGTGGGTCCGGACATTTTCTCTGTAGTTGCCTGAGCTGGGCTGTGGATTCCTTCTCCAGACTAGCTGATGATGCAGCAAAGAATTTCAGGGGAGAAGAGGCCATTCCAAAAAAGATGAACAGCACCATAGGAAAGAAACTAAGAGAGAGGCAAAAGTAGGGGTTGGAGGGGGAAGAGGGAATCCCGGAAGATAAATTTGGCTTTAGTGGAAGCTCTGCTTAAAATTTCTGCAATTCATGGTGGAAGTTCCAGCCACCCTGGGGACTTCTGGGCATCATTGTTTAAGGGGAATGGTATATTTCACCTTCTCGAACAACCTCAATTACCCAGAGCAAATTTTCCTAATGAAATCTAGTTGAGACAGCGACATAAGCCAGGACACTCAGAAACCAGCTCTCACATGGGGTTGGGGGGAGAAGAAACGTGGTCTTCTGCTGGCTGCCAGTCTTTGGCCTGTGCCCCTTGGACCCCTCAAGTTTGAGAGTGGGGACCTTGAAGACCAACCTTGCTGTGAACCAAAACCCAAGGCTCTAGATGGCTAGATTTCTAGGTGTTAAATCTTTCTCTTTGAGCGTAGCAATTGAAGTACTTGTGTGAAAACTCCACACCTGTGAAATTGGAATTTTTGGACCAGGTCTGTAAGAAATTCTCAGGGGGAGGCCGGGCCTGGTGGCTCACGCCTGTAATCCTAGCACTTTGGGAGGCGGAGACGGGCGGATCACGAGGTCGGGAGATCGAGACCATCCTGGCTAACACGGTGAAACCCATCTCTACTAAAAATACAAAAAACTAGCCCAGCGTGGTGGCGGGCGCCTGTAGCTCCAGCTACTTGGGAGGCTGAGGCAGGAGAATGGCGTGAACCCAGGAGGCAGAGCTTGCCGTGAGCCGAGATCGCGCCACTGCACTCCAGCCTGGGCGACAGAGAGTCTCAAAAAAAAAAAAAAAAACAAAGAAAAAGAAACTCTCAGGGGGACAGTGGTGTTAACGGTGTCGAATCTGTGAGCCTCATTAGTAGCCCTCCAATGCCATATTTGGCTTTTAAAAATGCCCTTCCTAATGCTGAGCTAAAGTCTGTCCCTTGGTACATCTTGTTCTAACCCCCTCAGCCACCAGACACTTGAAGCTGTCCTCAACCTTTCTCTCTTCAAGACTCTCTTTATTCCTTCAAGCAACTTTATAACCCCCAAATTTCCTGGCTTTGTGACCCGCTTCCCCGTTTCTAAATCTTCTTTTCTGCTCCTTCCCAGCGGTTCTCTTGTCTGCCCACATCTTCCTTTTTTCTGTGATCCCTCAAATTCTTTTCCTTTTGTCTTCCTTAAATCTCTCCCCACTTTACTGCCACCACCTACCCTCTGTCCATGCAGCCTGGGTTTACGTTGGCCTTTCTCACAGTCATGTGCCCTGCTAATTTGTAACATACCTCCCCTAAAATAAATCCACAAAATAAACACCCAGGCTATGCCCAGTGGGAGCTGGGAAGGCAGCCTCCCCATTTCTACCCGGGAATAGTTGCAGGCAGAGTCCTGCCTCTGCTGGCTGAGCATGGTCAACAGGTGATGGTGGCCCCGCATTGCAGGCTCTTGGCCTTGGAAGAACTAAGCCACTAGGCTGCTTATTCTGGCTTCTCTGCCCTGTGAATTAATGGCCACTAGTGCTTGGACCAGAGTAGCTATTGGAGGCCTTTGGAAAAACTCATGAGATTTTTAAACAAGGGAAAAAAAACAAATACCATTAAAAAATTTACTTCCCCCCCATGTACGGCCTTTTGATATGTAAGAAAGAAATTATAAAACAAAAATGGGTGCTAAATCACTTAATTTGACAGAATCAGATTTTTGTTGTTGTTGTTGTTTGTTTTTGAAATATTTGCTTTGTTTATCTCGTGCATCTGTGATGGAGGCAAAATTGGTTTTGGGGTATGCAGTGTGCAAAAAGTCTTAGTTGTGACAGGGTCCTGCAGTACATAAACAGATAATGGGGTATAGCTATATGTCCGTGGTATAAAAATATCATGGGGAGGGGCAAATAAGAAGTACATGTCTGAAGAAGCTAAGAGGGGAGTGATCATGAAAAAAACAAAGGTTGAGAAAACCGTAGCTTCTATGCCATTTTTTTTTTTTCAGGTCTAGCTTAACCAGAACACTTAAAACTGTTACCAAAAATCTTTCAACAACACTTGTGGTCACTTAACCAATGTTCCCATCAGTCTACCGTGTCCCACAGTGGTTAGCCTCTCCAAGCCGCAGTACTAGGTCAGTACTTGCAGCCATGCTGCCTGCTCCTGCTCTGAAAAGCTTGTTCTTAGGCACCAAGGTCAGGGAGAGAAGGTGGGGAACACACACACACATAAAACACACACTAAATATGACCCTCAGGATGGCTAAATTTTTCCAGTTTAGGGAAAGGACACAGTGGAATTCTGCACTCTCTAAACTGCTTTTTTAGACCATTTTGTAACCAACTGTAAGGCAGATTTGTGACAAAATTTACATGAAACCAACACAAAACAGATTTCTTCATAGCTGGTGCTTTTTTTGCTTTTTGGGTTTTTGTTTTTGTTTTGTTTTGTTTTGTTTTTGAGACAGAGTCTCACACTGTAGACCGGGCTGGAGTGCAATGGCGTGATCTCTAGCTGGTGCTTTTTATTTGATCAACTTTTGAAGTTTTTTTGGAGTTCCATTAGGGTTAAAATCACTAGTATAGAGTCAAATTGGACAACCCCAGCCTTCTTAAACTAATCAATCTAGACATTTGGAGCAGAAAGGGATAAATAGGATCATCTCATTCAGCGACCTCATTTTAGAAGAAACTGAGGCAGAGAGGTGTAGGGTCTGACCTAAGGCCACTTGACAAGACCATGGCTAGAAGCAACCTGGGCTGTTAGCCCCAGGCATTTTGTCTTAGATCCCACTGCTCCAGTTTGGGACATCAAGTTACAGGAAATAGAGTCATTAGTGTCAAAACCCCCCAACAGAACAAGAAATTCCATCTCTCATTCTTGAACATGGGGATTAAAGATGTCATTTGAGCATCTCATCCCTCTGCTGGGCGATTTTTTAGAGAAGAGCAGCGCTTGAGCCAGCACATGACGTCACTGGCCTGGAAGCTTAATTTTATTTCAGTGATTTGGTTTTTGTGAATAGATCACCTTCCAGTTAAGAGACACGCTTTACTCACACTATGGGTTCTGCTCAGTTTCCTCTCAACAGCTTCCCTCTTCTTGAAGAGCAGTATAATAATAACTGATAATTGAGGTAAATCCATGTCGATTATTTAAAAAGCAAAAAAACCTCATTCTTACCAACACTGAAGTTTCAGCTTTCTTCCTCCTTCACCTACACAGCAGAAAACGAAGGCTGGAGAGTCAAAGGCTGTAAGCAGCTCCGGAGTGAGAAAGGCTTGCAGTGCGTTAAAGAAACATCTCAAAACAATCCCAAACTGCAACATTTCTAATTCTTGAATTCTGATGAACATAAAGAGTTCTGTTTGCAAAACTTTAAACCTACATCAGGTTGACCCCACACAGTGTTGGAACATTGCAGCATAATTTCCCAGCTCAAATAAGTTCAGTTACAAGAGCAGCTTTGGGTCGTCCTCCCCTCCTCCCAAAAAGCAAATTTCCATTAAGCAAATGATTAATGTAGTAAAGGAAATAACTTCAATATTGAGGGCATATCATCATGTTTAACTAGCTTTATTCTCCTGCTCCTTCTCCTCCCCCATTTGAAATATTAAAACTGGCTGGTAATTCACCTATGTGGTTAATGGTAAGATCTGCTTTTTCTTGAGAGCAGACCTCAGACCTCACCTATGTAAAAGGGGCAAGTGAGCCTATTCAAATGCTAACCCCGGTTGAGCTGGGTAGACAAAGGGCCAGCTGGGAGACTAGTGAGTTGGGAATGCTTGGGGAACTTGCTAGAAATGGCTCTGGAAAAGGAAGGCAGGTGAATACCAGTTTCTCGGGCAGAAAGAAGGTTTGCTAAGTCTATGTAGCAAAATCCTGTCTTCTCAGGGAGGGTCATGAGTGCTCTCCTGGGGGGTTGGTATATCTCTCCGTTGCTTTGTATGGTCTGCAGTGGCTTTTCCACCCTTGAATCAGGGTGTAGAGAGGGAAGCTGGGGGAGGGGAATTGAGCCGGGGAGAGTGTGTGCCGGTAGGTAACAGGTTTTCACAATTGGGCTGTGATGCAGATAACGAGGCAGTTTGTAGAAGACTGTCTGAAAGACGGTCTGTGTTCCTAGATTGCCCCTCCTGGCTACATGTGAACGTGGTACATTGCTTACAGTTCAGGAAACCTCCCTGTGTTGGGCTTCCGTTTAAAAAACAGCAAGATGGGTGTGAGGTATGGGCTCGACACGGAGGGCTTTTAAAAAACTTGTTTATTCATCCTGCAACAAGGCAACACGCTCATTTCTCTAATGAATAAACCTAGCTTTGTGGGAAAACGGGTCTCCCAGACTACCCAGTCTGAAGATAGCGCCCACACTTGAAAGGCACGCCAAAAAATTCAACACAACCCCTGGTTTCTCTTGCTTGTCCCTAGAGACCTTTTGCTTCGTGAACTCAGGCTGAGACATTACCAGAGGAAAAACTGAACGCTTAATGTCACAGAAAGCAACACACCATCATTGTTTACATTAAGTAGGAATTTCGATTTATGGGCAAGCCAAAAGCAGGGCACGCCTAGCCCTTCCGCAGCCTCCAAACTTCCGAGACTAACATTGCTGCCGCAGAAAACCACTTGCAAATAAACTGGCTTATCCGTATTTATTACGGAAGACCACAAAGGCATCTAACCACAGTTTGCCTTGCAGACCAGCAGAACTAAGTCTTGGGCGCCGCGACGCCTTTCCTACGGAATAGGTCCTGGAAGGAAGACCATTTAAGGTATTTTCCTTCTATCATCATCCTTTTCTTATGAGTTAAAAACCTGACCATCATTCATTTCAAGCCCTCAAAACGCTTTACTTTTCCTCTAAATCATTGTCATCCGAATAATTCAAGCCGGCGCAAAATGAGACACGCACACCAGAAAAAAAAAATTTCCAAGTCGGACGAGATTTTTTAAAGACATTTCACTTATCAGTCTTTCCCCCCAGGACTGGCGAGGAGAGCACGCCTTCGCTTCCGAAGGTGCGTTACCAGATTGCGGCCGTTTTTGTGCTGGGTCACCAGAGCAGATTCCCCTCCAGGTTACAGATTCTAAACTTAACTCCACCCGAGCTGAAAATGGCCGGAGCACGCCGCCTGCCCTCCCCAAGGCTGCCGAAGCCGCCGGCCCCTGCCTCCTTTTCGACTGATCGTCCAAGGACTGGCGCCGGATCGAACACCTTTCCCCAGCTCTGCGGGTGCCGCGCTCTTTGGAAACGAATTGTAAGTTATCCTGATGTTAGACGCGACCCCCCTCTCCAGCCTGTCCCTTGTTCCGCTTTACCTTTCCGCTTGCGACCATCTTGAGGGCCTCCAGAGGTCCTGCGCAAACAGCCCAGGACGTCTCCTGCTAAGCTGCATGCAGCCTGGCCACCTGACCAGCTGCGCCAAAAGCCTGGCAATACCCCGACGTGACCATGCCTGTGCGTCCAACCCTGGTAGCCCGTAGGGCCACCCCCAGGGGTCCCCTTACGTCCCCTACCTTTCCCCCAAGTACTTCCCCCCAACTGCCCGCCGCCGGGAGAGGTCAGCTCCGGCGCGCGCGGGCAGGTGCGCACGCTGTTTGAGGCGGTCTCTGTCCCGGCAAGCGCCGGGAGGCGGGCTGTGGCGGCCAAGACTGGCGCGCGGCAGCGGGGGGCACTGGCGCGGAGGTCCCGCGGCTTCACTGGCAGCTCTGGGACCTGGGCTCCCGGCTCTGAGCTGCTTAGGCGCGGCGCGCCCGTGACTTCCCTCCCGGTGGTCAGTCTCCAGAGTTCTTGCCCAATCCCATTCTGATTACTTTCCACACATCGCAGCAGTGTCTCTACAGCGCGGCTGCTCTCACAACGTGAAAGTTGGCGCGCACCTCCGAACCACATTTTGGGCACCTCAGAAGGCCAACTTGTTTGAAACTAGTTTTTCTAGGAGGAAGAAAGGCGCGCAAAACAAGTGACTTACCGATGCCGTTTGGGTGTGCAGCTCCAAATCGGGGGTGCGTTCGGGATTCAGTCGCGCAGCCGGGGCACCAGCTCCGAGAGACCTCAGGTTGTCTCCAGCGGGACGCACGGTGTGCGCCCCGCCGTCCAACAAACCTTTGGCCACCATGGCGCCCCTGGCATCCTGGAAAGTTTGGGGGAGCCCTCGCCGCCTCACCCTGATCCCCGGTCCTGGGCTGGCCAACTGAGCCTCCTTTCTTCCGACTCACCCCTGACCTGCCTTTCCTTCTCACCTCCTTTCCGCCCGCCGCTCCCACACCGCCCTCAGGCACCCCAGTTTAGCGGTGGGCAACTAACCTGAATCCATGAAAACAAGGAGAATCTGGACGGCGTCCTCCATTAGTGACGCCGGATGGGGATGGGTCCCTTTTTGGAAGGGGACTCCGGGGACGCGTCACGGCGGGTGGGCTTCTTAGGCTTGCAGCGGCGCCGCTGCTTCTCCTTCTTGGGCTCCTCAGACTCTTCGGGGGCCCTTGGATCTTTGTCCTCGGGCTTGAGCTCCTCCCCCTCGCTGGGGCTCTGGGGCTCCTGAGTGCTGGGCGGCGCGCGACTTGGGGAGGCGTCGGGGCTTCGCAACTTGAGAGCGTGCAGGCGCTGGGTGAGGGACTGGCCGAAGGTGGAGTGCTTGGGCACCACCGGGCCGCGCTCGTCTTCCGGCTCGGTCTCGGGCTCAGTGGTGGGGGCGGTCTCAGGCTCGGTCTCGAAGTCGGTCTCGGACTCGATTTCGGACTCGGTCTCGCTCTCGGTCTCGTAGTCGAACTCTTCCTCGTACTCTAGGCACTCGGGAAGGGACAGATCAAGGTCTGCCTCCTCGTGCTCGTAGTCAGATTCCGATTCGGGGGACTCAGGGAATACCTGGGCGCCGGAGCGGTGGTGGGCGTTAAGGAAGCTCCGGCGCTGCTGGGCAGCCGCGCGCTGCTGGGCACGGGCGTTGGAGGTGGCAAGGGCGCGGAGGAGCGCGATGGAGCAGGAGAGCCAGAGGAGCGCGGTGGCTGCCCGGCGGCCTATGGGTGGGCACAGGTCGTTGTAATTATGGCGAGCTCGGCGCCACTGATGAGCCCGGGACCTCCGATCCATCCTCTTAGGCGCACACCAAGAAGCCGACCTGCCCTCTGGCTCTGCAGAGAGCGGCTCCAAAGCGCATTGGCTGCTGGAGCCGGGAGAGGTACACCCTATGAGGTGAGAAGCTGGCCCGGAGGTGCCAGCCTCACCTCCTTGTGAGGAGAAAAAGCGAAGCACCTACCTTCCTGACCACTTAAGAACTTTCTACAGCTCCGCGCCTTGCTTGCCTCTCTGAGCAAGAAGAAGGGATGGGAAAAGAGGGGAAAGGTCTGTCTCCTCCTGGGCTCCTCTCGCTGAGTCTTAGGTTCCGCAGCCTAAGACTCGAGAGAGGTGCTTCCGCCGGTCCTCTTCCCTGGGAGAGGACAGAGGAGACTGAGGCGAGGAGGGACGGGCAGTGAGGTTCTGCGAAGTTGCGCGCCCGGACTTCTGCCGGGCATGTGCAGTAAGGAGGTGGGGGCCAGCCTCCCCGCGAGCTGCGCGGTGGCGCCGAGCCTGTGGCGCAGACCCTAGTGGGCCGGCAGGTGGCAGGAGGGAACCTTGTTTGAAAGGATTTGGGCGAAGCAATGGGCGGGGGGCCTGGCGGGTGGCAAGGAGCAAGCGGCAAGCTAGCCCAGGTCCAGTACTTGGGCAGGTGGGCGCAGGCTTCTGTGGGGTCGTGCCCCTCCCTGTTTCCCCAGTTATTGGTGAAATAAACACAGCCTGGGTGCAGCTAAAAACCCAGAACCCCAAATAGCAAATATTCAGGAGAAAGAGGGTCTGTATACGAGTATTAAGCCCCCAGTATTTTCCAATGGCTTAATAGTTTGAGGATGGTAACTTCAGGTAGTCATTAATCATGAAACTACCTTTAGCAGATCTGTTACAGTGACTGTAATTAGAGAAGTTTCCAAAAAATACGTGCTCAAACAGTCTGAATTGGCTGATTACCTCATCTTCTTCAACAAGGGCCCCCATGGTTGAGGTAGTAGTTTGCAAGTCTGCAAGCCCATCTGAGGACTGACCTGAGCTCGACTGAGCTGAGAAGGTGGTGCTGGAACTCAGACTGGAGCTGAGAGCATGAGCAAAGGGAAGCGTTTCCTGCGTTCTCAGTACACACAACCGCTTCTCTCCAGCGGGGCAATTCAGGGTGACACGGAATCCTCACTGGAGGCCCCTTACGGCTTTTAACAAAGGTAACTCTTTGAGCAGTACTCATTGGGTGCCTTGCATGTGCCAAGCTGTGTTTTAGGTGCTGAAGGTAGAGTAGTGAACAACAACAACAAAAGTACTGTATTAAGGAAAGGATCTTTTGGATTAATTTGCTGTTAATCAGGAGATTGAATCAGTCCGAATCCCTCTGTACCCACCAACATTGTTTAATCCAGTTTGAATTCCACGTGAGAAAAATGATTGGCTCAGGGCTAGGGGGCGGCCAGACACCACTAGATCGTGTTGTTGAACTCTGCAAGGCTGTAGACTTGGAGTCAATAGTGCTGCTGTTTCTTGGCCCTAGAAAATCAAATGACAGCCTACAGGAGGAGATCCCTGCAGTGGGAGCTAACCTGGCTGCTGCTTTTGGGGTGTGCGTGTCCTCAGTCTGGCCCTCCATGATGATTATGGAGTGCCCTTTTGGCCATAGTGACAAGTCCAAAGGCGAAACAACTCAGAGCAAAGCCATCGTCCTGGAATCCATGGGAGTATCAGGAAGGTTGTTTCACTTAGGACACATGTCACAGGTTGTAGTCCTTTCCTCCTTCTTGAGTCAGTATGGGGAATCTTCAAAAAAGAGGCTCCACCACTGGGTGGCCCACCAGGCCCTCCTGGTACTGGTACTTCTGCCTGGTGTGTGAAGAGTCAGTCAGGTACCCACAGCCATTCTCACCATGATGGAACTTAACCTCACACCTTCAACACCACACCCGCATTAAAGCCACCAAGTGCAGAGTTCATACCCCAGTGAGAGACCAGCAACTGCTTTGGATGTGTTGAGGTTTTCCTTTCTGCATGTTGGCTGTGTCTATAGCTTGTATCTTGCACTCTGTGTTAGTTTGTAGCCTTAAAATAGTGATTGGGCTGGGCCTGGTGCCTCTCACCTATAATCCCAGCACTTTGGGAGCCTGAGGCAGTTGGATCACTTGAGGCCAGGAATTCGACAGCAGCCTGACCAACATGGTGAAACCCTGTCTCTACTAAAAATGCGAAAATTAGCCAGGCGTGTTGGCGCACGCCTGTAGTTCCAGCTACTTGGGTGGCTGAGCCACAAGAATTGCTTGAACCTGGGAGGTTGGTCTAATAAAGTGGGATTGATTTGTCAAACCCCACAAAAGGACAAATGTCTATGTTCCAGTTGTGCCTTGCTCTACCACTTTTCCTGAGGAACTGCAAGGGTTTTATTATCACAGGTGCCTGCATGGCTGTGTGGATATTATCATGGGACACTCTACAGGGGCATTTAGAGCTGTATATGTCAAATCCTAATCTCTGCCTCTCGGTCCTGACTAATGGGGCACGTTTCTAGAGGGTCTGCCTACACTGACCCACCCACTTTATTTCTTCTAATTAGCACAGCTCCACTGACAGCATATGAAACAAAGATATTATTCAAGCTGATTTCAGGGCACATTGGGGGAAACATCAGGAATATATGGGTGCTAGTAAATGTCCTTTGAATGGAAACTAATGTCAGCTGTCAGCAACAAGGTAGATTATGATTCTTCAGTGTACATAAGAAAGTACTTCATTCTTCAGATGGAGTGCTTTATGCCTATAAAGGAGATGGCAGCCCAGAGCTGATTCACTAATATAGATACACCGAGATTGCCTGCATTATTAAAAAATGTGCATTACATAATACATACTTTTGGACTAGATTCTGCATTAGCAATGCGCTTTCTTTGCAAGATGCATTTTAATCAGCAAACAAACATTTAACAAAACACTGCATTTTTGAGCCCCAGTCCTGTTTAGTCACAAATACATCTCAGTGTACATTCACTACAGGCTCTGGGAGGAAGGAGCGGGGGACTGCACTGAAATGCCATTCCATCTCACACTTAGGGCCGAGGTTGAGCAAATGGAGCCGTACAGAAGATGCTCTTTAAAATGCATTACGTGCGTGACTTTAAAAAGTGCTTGCTGCAGAGTGAATTTCAAAAAGGAGCAAGTGGGTGATGAACGACCTCTGTTGTTACCGGGCTAAGGAACAAGGGGCTCTCTCTGTCTGCTGGTAAAGTGTCGGCATATATCACTTCCGGGACTCTGCTGGAGGGAGGCTCCTAAACCAGTTGGACAGGAAAGCCCTGTTCCCAGCTCACTACAGTATCATACAGTAAGCTTCTAATTTGGATAAATTGTGAAGAATATTGTCTTTAGCTCCCTAAAGGATTTTGATGTGGAAGAGGCCTTAAGATTTATTGTATGTGGCTGTGGAGGGCAAAATTAGAACCCATTGGTGGTAGTTGTAGCAGAAAGCCTTCAGCGTAACCCAAAGAAGAATCTGACGGGGAGTGGGCTGTCAGGAAGCTGGCGCTTTGTCAGAAGCAATGTGAAGTCAAAGGACAGGTGACCACACACTGGAGATGGTTTTCCATGGTGTGTGTGAGGGAGTGGGGTTGGAACTTGGTGCCCACCACAGTCTTATCAGGTTAGCCTCTGATTCCATTGAAGGCCTCTGTAGGTTGTGGGAGAAGGGTTTGGGGGCTCTACCGATGGACACAATCCTTCCCCCCTGCTTTTTACTATTTTGGAAGCATTGAAAGTGCAAGTGGCTCAGTGACAGGAAGGAATGTTGGGGTGGCAGTTTTAGGACAGGGCAAACAGATGTGTGTGATGGACCCAGCAGCCTGTGGAGGAGCTTTCCTCACCAAGGCAGGGTGTGGAGGCTCTTTGCTCCACAACTCACCACTTGTTGAAGCAAAGAAATTAGTCAAGTCCATCAGTTGATTACATTGGTCCTCTTTGCCTCCTCTCCTGGGGCTGTCTCGGAAATTACAAATGAAATTGGCTATTTAGCAATCATGAATTGAGCCACTTCTATGATCAAGACACTATTCCAGGCATTGTGCGGAGATCGAAGTAATTGAGGATGAGCAATTCCTGCCATCCAACAACACACACATTGGTGTGAAGTGCCTCCAAATATTAAAACCAGATTGCTGATGGGTATAGAGTAATACATTCCAGCTCAGATAGACAGGGAGGGAAGTTGAGTAACTGGTTAGAATCAGAGGTACAGTTCATCTGGTGGTTTTCAGAAAGAGATGAGTCTTTACCTAGTCTGACTTTGAGATTTTCTTTTGATTTTTAAAAGCCCATGAGAATTGCTTTCAATCCACCTGTTTGTAACCATGTATCTATCGTGTGCAAAGCCATGTGCTAGTGGCCCTGGGGGAGACAGATGAATCATGGCTTCTCAGAAGGCTTGCAGGCTATTGTCAGGGGTCCCATAGACATCAACGCATTTTCCAAGACGAAACTCAAGATAATGGATCAGTTCTGCTCTGCCTGGTGAGCGGGTATAATCACTCTTGAAGATATTTTTTGGACAATCATTGCAAAGGACTATTTTTGGAGATGAAGAGCTTTTCACACTTTCCTTTGGATAGAAATGAATTCAGGGAGTTTGAAGTGCTCCCCACCCCTCACTGTGGCAATCAGCCAGTAAGGCTCAAACCCACTGAGAATTTGGTATTGGCCCCTCCCGCCTGTTCCCCATAGGGGACTAAGGTACAATGCCAAAGCATTTGTCTCCGTTCTCTAGGGTGCTATTTTGCTGTTATTCAGACTGCACTGATATCAATTGGCTCTCACCAGTAGAAATGGTGAAAACCTCAAGCTCCTGATTTTGAGATTTGGGGTTAATGCCATCTAGAGCTAAAAGCAAACAATAGAGGGAAATAATCACCTTTTTGACATGGCTGGTTTCTGTCCAGGCCATTGTTGGGATTACAATACTGTATTTGTGCTATTCATTTTGAAAGGGAATAGGATCAGAAAGGAGCCTTCGTTTTCTGCATAGAGATTGCTTGGAGCTGTCTTCCCAGGAGCTCCCTTCCTTTCTCTTCACTTCGTGCTCTGTTGAGCTTCTCCTACTGATACAGTGCCTATCTCCCTCTCTCTCCCTCTGCCACAGGGGGAGCAATTTCTAGACTCCTGATCCAACGGGAAACATCTAGAAGCCCCCTTGCTCAGGCAAAGCATCAGTACCCAAGAGGGGTACAGGCCTTCTTGGACGTGGCGTCTCATTTCTCTGCCACGGCCCTGGAGCTTGGCATTCTCGTGTTCCCCGGTTCAGCCCCTGGACTCTGACACCCTGCCTTGCTTCGTCCTGAGCTCTGACTGTCTGCCCAGCCGGACTTACACTGAGCTTGTCTGGTTCTTTCCTACAGCCAGCTGAGACATCATTGTCCCAGGATACCCCCAGTCCACGTGGTTCTGGCCCCAGATGTCCACCTCTGC